TCTCTGTGTATAAAAATCCCCAGCAAAATATCAATGTTAAAAGTTAACCATTGAGATTTCCCCAATTTTGAAAATCTATTTGATTTTTTGCTTTCTTATTTTGTTGCTAAATGTATTTGATTCTAAAACCATGGTTGGGTTTAATGGGGGAGTTTTGTAGGATTAAAATGTGATCATGTTTTGATTATTGCAAAGCATAGTTTTGAACCTCCTAGTTGAGATCTGTGGGGACTTAGATTGATTCGATCAGTTTCAGTCTCGACTAGCTTCATCCCGTCCTGTTGTCGTCCCTTCGAGTCGGGAAATTGCAAATGAAGATGACGTCGGCTGCTAGCAGGCGAGACGTTCTGACCACACAGCTGATAGCAGCCATCATACATCAACTTCAATGGGCATAGTTTGAATATTTGCATATGAATGGACCAACAAAATAGACCACTCGGATAAGTTCTAATAATTTAACTGGTTAAAATATAAGTAATTTTGATTCATATATTGAAATTAATTATCTATTAATAAATGATAGTTATTATATCACAGACGAGCATTTCTTATTCAAATCATTCAAGATATTTTTTACTTTTACATGATATAGAAGTTTAAAACTAAAAAAAATATGGGAAAAACTTGTGTCCACCATTAGGCCAGTGGGTACTTTTGATTCCATTTTTTTTCCACATTTTCACCTTGTTCAAATATGTGAGAACACTATTATAAATTGAAATTATTATTAAAAAAAAAAACAGGGTAGAAATTAACCGAGTCACATTATTGTGTAGAATTCAATTCCAATATGTATATATTTCAAACCCAACTTTGATTGAAATATAAAAGTTGCAAAAATGGAAAGAAAAAAAAAAATGATGGGAGAGAGGTGCAAGTGGGAAGAAAAAGAAAATGGTTTGTGAGGCTGGAAATGTTCAATTACCAAATTAGTCAATCATGATTCATGAAAGGGGTCCATGCGCAGCTGTAATCTAATGAATCTTTCTTATTTCTCGAATAGACTTAAAGATTCGTATTCAATCATTGCCAATAATACCCCTCCACTCCACAATCTTTAATTTTAAAAAATTGATTAAAATATTATTTTGATCACGTACTTTCACATCCTTCATTTTGATTCATATATCTTTCGTTCGTTTTTAGTCCATGTGTTCTTGAAACATTCGTTTTAGCATAATCCTTCAAACCACCGTATAAAATTTGTTTTAAAATTTTTACCAATAAATATAAAAAAAATGGTCACTTTTAAAGTAGAGAAACCAAAACGGATATTTTGGCCATTTTTTGAGGGACCAAGACAAAAATAAGTAAAAGTTGAAAGTATCAAAATAGTTATTTTGAAATTACATGAACTAAAATGAACAAAAGCTGATATTTAAACCGAAAATTTTTTCATGGCTTCTTTAAAATTGCCATTTCCCCCTATTCTCTTCCAACATAGTAAAAGCAACCCAATTTCAAATGACAAAAGCTGTCATCGATAACCATCAGCACTCATCTTCTTCAAAAATTATGGTGAAAAGGAAGTGTGGCAAAAGAATCCCTCAATCTTTAAGGAAAAGCAAAGCTCACACTCCAGTCCAGAACCAGAACCAGAACCAGAACCACCAAAATGTTGCAGTGCTGTAAAGTTTATTTGGTAATCACTGGGAAGAATGACATCTGGAGATTGGCCTTACCATGCAACTCCCATTCCCACATGATCATTTGCAAACGTGTCTCTCCTCTTTTTGCCAAACAGACCAACCTTTTCTTCAGTTCAAAAAAAGAAAATCTCAATCACGTGACCAAGAACTGTCATGAAAGCTACTGCAGTCTGCACTTCAAATGAACATTTGGACAATACAGATTTCATCTCATGGGACAATTTATCTTTTGCTCTAAAGTTGACAAGTTTGACTTACAAGAGAGTGAGAGAAGACTTTGCTTTATTACTCCAGCTTCTGAGGTTGTATCACCTTGATTGAGGCCTCTTTGATAGCCTGCTCAATGACAAGATACAGATTCTATATGTAGATTGGGTACTGATTGGCAACAATATGATGATGAGTGAAAGATATAAGAAGCAGAAAGCATATCTCGAAATTTGGTTAAGATAGAGTTTATTAGAATGTAGTTTAACTATGGTAGATGAACAAATGTACAAAGTGTGTCAATAGAAAGAGCGACTTGGGAGAGTTCGTCGTTAAGATCCTTCCGAACCCAGGTTTTGTGAGTTGTTCTTCGTGCTGCTACTGCTTTGTGATGTGCCATCTTGCTCCCGTTCCAGATTCGGATCCTGGTGTTGGAGAAGCTGAGGCTGTTGTTGTTGTTGCTGCTGCTGCTCATGATCTTCCCGCCAAACCCATACAATATCCTGTAGGGCTGGCCTTATATCCTCTTTCAATATCTTCTGATATTCCAATGTGTCTCCATTAGATTTTTTCATCTCCACCAAATAAAACGATGGAGTAACCTCAAAGATCTCTGTATCAATGGACAATGCCCCCTTTTTACCCTCTGTTAGTGCCTCAAACTTCAGTAGGCCAGCTTCCTTCTTCTGCACACGGAACCTTAGAAGTTTGGCAACTTCTTCCAGCTTTGAGAGAATGACAGAGGCATGTTTTCTACAAGTAAACAACGTTTCTTTCTTCTTTGAGTTGTCTTCAAATAAACTGGATAGATCGAATCCTGCAGAAAGGGAGATGATATCGAAAGCATTCAAACTCGGGGGTCTATCTGGCTCTTGCTTTCCATCTGCAGGGTCAGGGACACTACTCTCAGATGGTCCAGAAGTAGCTTCATCTTCTGTAGTTACAGCATCGCTTTCTGTTCCACTTCCAACATTCTTTAACCTCAATCCTTTTTTGAACCAAGAACTTTGTCTAATCATTGCTATGGGCGTCCTCGTATTGGGGTTTGGATCGAGCATCCGACTTAGCAGCCTCCGCACTTCACGAGGGAACCAACTCGGGCATTTATATTCTGCTCTTCCAATCTTCCGATACATTTCCATCAAATTTGAATCGTGGAATGGGAGATAACCTGCCAACAAGACAAACAAAACTACTCCACAAGACCAGATATCAGATTTTGCACCATCATAGCCCTTCCTACTGATGACTTCAGGGGCAACATAAGCTGGAGTACCACAAGTAGTGTGGAGCAACCCATCTTGACGCCTGGACTCGGCTAGCGCGCTTAAACCAAAATCAGACACCTTAAGATTCTCATTTTCATCAAGGAGTAGGTTCTCCGGCTTTATATCACGGTGATATACTCCCCTACTGTGACAGAAATCAACAGCATTGATTAACTGGTAAAAATATTTCCAAGCAACATCCTCCTTCAGCCTCCCTTTAGCAACCTTGTCAAAGAGCTCACCGCCTTTAGCATACTCCAAGACAAAGTAGATCTTAGTCTTTGTGGCCATAACCTCGTAAAGATGTACAATATTAGGATGTCTAACAAGTCTCATAATCGAAATTTCACGCTTAATCTGATCGATTAGTGAAGCCTTTGTAATCTTTTCTTTATCAATCACCTTAATTGCCACACTTTGATTACTCCTTGTATTCCTCGCATAATATACCTTTGCAAAGGTTCCTTGGCCGAGTAATCTCCCTAATTCATACCTTTGTATCATCACACTCGATTTATTTTCCATCCCAATCTATCAAATCCTATAATAGATAACACAGAATATTATCCTAATATCGACCCGAATCAACAAAGCAGAAGATAATTATGAAAAAGAAGCTTAACCAGCTTCAGATAAATCAAGAACTGATAGAATTGGCACCCGAACTCCACAATAACTTTTAGGTAAATCGAGCGTTTGAAGCAGAGAGCATATGGAGATTCCTGATTTACAGCGCTGCTTCCCTCCAATACAAAAGAGGGCAATTCAAGTGCATCTGAAAAATTACCGATGTCCGAGAAAGAATTGCGAAGGCTCAGAGTCATCTTTCGGCATTCCCTGGAAGAACCAGAGATTTGGAGAACCACTGGCTTCTCTCTAATGGAGATCAACAGCCACAGCCCTTCAGCAGAGAGGAGATGCTCAACAAAAGATCGCTGGCTGCAAAAGGAAATTGCCAACCATTCAAATAAATGAAATTCCAATTCAGAAAGAGAGAATTCAAGGATTCATATTAAACGGCTTAATACACAAAACTAATCTTACAAACGCATACGTAATCAGAATCACATCCACAGCCCCAACAAGAAATTATAATCAATTCTCGAGCTGTATAGCTATTAGAATCACAAAATATTACAATCCACCTCCCCATAACCAAATAACTCGAAGATAGTTTTTTTCTGATTGTTAAGTCTGTTAGGAAGAAGATACAACAGAAAAATGCAAACGCAGAAAATTCCCAGAAAAGATGCAAAAAAATTCGGGTACGCAACAGTAACAGCCAAAACTAAACTGCAGAAAATCAAAACCACAGAACACAAAAGCAAAGAATTGATCATAATTAAGCAAATTGGGAGTCCAAAGGTTTCTTAATTTCTTCAAACCAATTCAAAAAAAAGTGGAGCAAACCAATTCAAAAAAAAGTGGAGCAAATCAATTACCGTTGTGGTTGGCGAAGAGTCGGCTCGGAGAATGAGAAAATCTCGCGATTCAGAATCGGAAAAATCTCGGAATCTCGGATTAAGATTGAAACTTGGTTTAATTTTAAATGAATTTTTCAATTTTCTAATGCATATGCGTGGCCCGGTGAACGGGGGAATTAAGGAAGAATCGACCACCCTGCCATCGAGGCAGGATCCCATACGGGCAAGCCCACGTGCTCCCATGTGTGACTCCCTTTGAGATCGCAACATGTGTCTTCCGATCATACGATCCAACGGCTCCTGATGATTACGGGACGTGTAGCCGTCGGTTTTATAAACTTTGGAGTATCTTTAATCTTCCGAAAGCCAAATAAGCGGTATTCGTAATTTCGTAGAGGCTTAGCTGGACGAAGATCCTTTATTTAAAAACGAAAAAGATTAGGCATTTCTTTTATTAACTGTTTTTACTAAATTATGAATAAAATATATAAATAAATTTTCAATAAAAAGATATAAATTATATGTATTTACTACTCTCTTTTATTTCTAAATTGAAAAACTAATTAAATTAATTACTAAACTAGTAATTTTTATGCGAAGATCTCAGTCTTGGAGAATGAGACGGAGATGAGGACTTAAAATTTCAACCATGAGGTTGGGAGGAACTCTAAAAAAAAACAGAAAACAGAAATTATTGATCAACGGTTTTCTATTTTTTTAAAAACATTTAATTTTTGTTTATTGAAAAACATAAAAGAGATAAACTAAATACTAAAAACATAAATTATTATCAAACTAGTCCTTAATTATTATTTTTGTATATATTATTTAAATTTTGTTTTATTTTGATGTAGTATTAAAAGACTTTGAGTATTTTTTAGTTCAACCAAATGAGGAGGTCAGAATTCTAATCTCTAACTTTTTGTTGATCATTTAACCCATTTATATCGAGAAGTTAACAATTTTCTTACTAAATATGTTTTTTTAGATGTAATAAAGATACTGAATGGGTTGGTGTCAAATATAGATATATGTGATGAGTAGAAAATAGATGGCTCACTGCAAGAAAAAAAAAGGCTTTTAAGGACATGGAAAAATAAGTATCAGCAACGAAGGAGCAGGCGTCGCTAAGTTTGTTGCTAAAATCGCGTCGCCTTTACTTTTAGCAAGAACAGTGGGGCATTGTCCCTAATATACGACAAGCAGATATCGTTGCTAAAACATCTGTCGCTAATAATCTTATTAGCGACAGATTGTTATTGTCGCTAATAATCTTCTAATAGGATCTATAAAGTGTGTACAAAGACAATTAACTCTTCGCCACATGTGGGGTAAAAAATATTATTAATATGTTAACATGAACATAATATGGATAAAGTAATTATTGTCGATCTAAGTTAACAGTTCGATTTCCCACCCCACAATTAGTGCACCATATATATAAAAAATTGATGTTCAAGTTCCTACGTGTCCAGATAAAAAAAAAATATATTATTTTTAACTTTTCTTATTACCACACTAAACATCAACCCTTTGACTATAGTATGCTAAAAGAAGGGAAAAAACCATTATTAGTCACGTAAATAGAAATATGCATTATTGATAGTCTATAAGCATACTTAAACAGGAAATATGTAGTTGTAGGCTCGAAAATTACTCAAAAATAATAAGAGAACAATAATAAAAATAATATGTAGCGTTTGGAAAGCTATAAAACTCAATTTTTTCTATGAAATAATTATATGGTTGTTAAAGATTTGAATAACCTTTATCGATTTTTTAATTACAAATAAGTAACCTAACTATTAAGCTAGATATTGCCTATATTAATTTATTTATTAACATAAAAGGACTTTTATTTATCATATTTAAAAAAAAATTCAATTATTTATAAACCCACCTCCTTTCTCTTCTCTCTCAAGCTGATTTACCATTATACCCTCTCGGAAACCCGATCCCGTGTCGATGGACGAGTCACGCGCTGCGCATTACCACCACAACCATCGCTAAACCGCTTTGAATTTACCACACATTTCCAGATTTACCCCTACCTTCTTCTTCAATTTTCAATTTCCACATACGCCTAAAAAATTAAATAAAAAAATAAAACGTGAGAAATTAATACTAAAACAAACCCTCAGGCCAAAACCGGCGGCCCCCAAAATCGCCGATCCGAAATTGTCAGAGCTGAGTTCGATAATGGCACTGCTGATCTCCAATACTTCGGTTTTTAATGTCGACGGCGAAATCACAAGCCGTCGAGGCCACAACATGAATCTTGAACACGCCGATTACCGTCACTTTACCGGAAAGTCTGGCGTAAGTGCTGATCGGAAGTTCTCCGGCGACCACGTCGGGGAAGAGCTCCGGCTTGGCGAGCAGCCGGTCCGCAATCATCGTCAGTGAGAGGTTCATTCCCTGGGTCCCGTCGGCCGCCAACCGGCCGGCCGGAATCGGCGCTTCTCCGAATTCTTCCCCTCTGTATCTGATGACGGCGGTGCCATCGGAGTATTTGAAGGCCACTTTATTAGGGTTCCTGACGGAGAGATCCACCATCAGAGTGAGATTCAGATCGACGGCGAGCCTCGTGGGGTCCAGAGAGACGGCCAGATCGAGCAGAGAAACCGAATCGACGGCGATTGTGGGCCGTTTGGGCTTGAAAACTGGAAACCCTAAAATCACGAGTAAAATTACGAGCCCAGTTACGGCGAGTAAAATGCCCAAGCAAAATTTTCGTTGTTTCGCCAGTTTAGCTCCGATTTGGATTGAATAAGAAGATTTTTCTGTGCGTTTAGGAACTTGAGTTTCTGGTTTATTATCAAAATTTGGGAGCTAGTTATTAGGGAATGGGAAGAAGATGAAGAAAATTTAGCTGCCGAACGGCTTTAATTGCCATTGTCGATACTTTCAAACTCAATTAATTGGGTAGACGTTTGTAGATAGTTTGGGGAGGAGTGGGAGTTTCCAAAGTTGGCCGGAATTTGAGATTACGGCGGAAATGTTGCTGAAATGAAGCTTTCTTGGGCGGTTCGGCACCGTGGACGGCGGCGACGGCAATGGAATAAAATGGTTCGAGAGTGAAGGGGTTCAGAATTTGACGGTATGATTAATTTTTTTATGTTATTTTTTCACCTACATCGAAATAGGTCGTTGGTTCGGCCCAGCCCAAAAAGATATATCTCAAGCTCGGTTCGATTCAACCCAACGGACGTAATTTACCATTTGAGCCCAATTTTAAAAGTTGAGCCCACAATCAAGCCCATAAGCTTAGATCGGTAAATCGAACCTTTCACTTTGAAATTGACTGGGCCGACATTACTCAGGATTTTTCTTTTATTTAATGGATTGGTATTTTTTCCCTTTTCTTTATTTTTAGATAAATTTGTTATTATTTCTAAACAAAGTTTTATAACTTATAAATTACTTTTTTAAAATAGTATTATATTAGAACAAATTTAATTTTTCTTTGTAGTTTAAATGTGGGTGGAAATTTGAACCGAACAAGAGTAGATTTATTATTATTATTATTTTAACAAGAGTAGATGTGTTAACTTTTGAGTTTTATTAGAATAAATTAAATTCATTTCACATAATATACACTTTCTTATATTATTTTATTGGAAAATACCTGCTTTTTAACGGTAAAGGAGTATTGTTATTAAATATTTGACAACCAAAAGAAATAAATGCAAAAATAAATATTTTTTTTAAATTAATAGGTTATCAATTAATTTTTTAACGGGTAAAGACAAAATTTGATCCTTTTGTTAAAGAGAGTATTTTTCTATTTTATTATCTCCTATTGAGATGGTAGTTGAAACTCTTGCCCTGAGAAGTCAAATTTTCCCTAAATAATTATCAAATCCCAATTATTACTGGAAAAGGAAGTTTCAGAAATTAATATAAATAAAGGCAATAAAGATGGGACAGAAAATTACAAATTATAAAGTACTTCGAAAATAATTATTACCGAAAATTTCTATCGGTAATCAGATACTCCATGCTTTTACTTTTACCTTCCAAGTAAGTTATAATAATTCTTTCTTCTTTTCTTAAAAAAAAAAAAAGGATAAAAATCCATTATTTGGCTCAAGTTTAGTATTAATACAAGTCAAAGTTCTTGTGTAACATCAGAATCTCGAACGAGATAATCAGTTGGGTCTGCTGCAGACCTTTCTGATCTCGCCCTGTGATCCGGTGAGCGGCTTGATGTCTCCCATTCTGATCATAGCCGCCACGAAATCGGCATCGAAGGTCTTATCGTTTTTGCTGTATAGCTCGACCAATGAGTCGGTAGATCCGCCGTTGTGGAGGACCTGGTCGGAGTGGAGTAAGCCCTTCTGGTTCAAAAGGTTCTTGTAGTAATAGTTGTCGAAAAGCTTTGGTGTCACGACGTCGAGGGGGGCAAGATTGTCATCTCCTCCACTTCTTGGGCAATTTCTCTGTCTTAGCTTGGCGAACGAAGCATCTATGTTGGACTCGTTGTATATGCGGTTTCTAAAGCTTACGCACCTCGCCTGTCCAATCGTATGGGCCCCTGCAATGTCCAAGATAGAGTATTAAGAATATGAATAAATGATTAAACATATATATATTATATACTTATTTATTAACTTAAGAAAAATACTTAAATTCGGACTAGTCGTCACTAATCTTTTTGGTGACCGTTTTTTGTTTAAATAAAAATAGAAAAAATATCTGTCTTTCTATCTTTCTCACCGGACAAGGCAACCATGTCTTTCGTTGATAGGCCTACGGCGTTAAACCGGTTGATGAGGTTGCTAAGGGTGGAGGTCGGTGGAGGGATGACGCCGCTGCTGGCAGCGGAGAAACTGGCTGTTTTGGAATCTCTTCTTCCTAGTTTCACCTCCCAGCTTGGCCCTCCCAACTATAAATATAGTTAGTATAAATTAGATACATATTTATATTACTTAAAAATCTTAAATGAAAAATGCTTTTAGTTATATCAAAAGCGACGTACTTTTCAAACCTAAATAATTTTAACAGTGAAAAGTCAACAACTTACAATGACGACAGAGTCACGAGAAGTAAGAGTCAAAATATCAGCACACGAGACAACGCTAGGACAAACTTTCTCTACGCTACTCTTGATATCTTTTATGACATCAAAGCCTCTAACAGACCTATTATTTGGAGGTGCTGTTTGCTCTCCCATGAAAGTTGGAGTGTCGTCTAATAGAATTGACCCGTCACAACCCTACAAACAATGGTATAAACGAAAGAATTCAAATGTCCATAACAGATTAGATTCACTGCAATACAACGGTTTAGCAAGCTTTTTGAGTTGATTGGTAGTTTAAGCAAAAGAAATGACAGAATAGAAGAAAAGTTTAGTACGTTAACAAAGCAGTCGTGGAAGTGGAGGCGGAGGAGGGAAGCGCCGATACGGGCTTCCTTAGCGATGGCAGAGCGGACTCCAGCCCTGACGGTGGAAAGGAGGTTGGGGCAGGTCTTGGAGTAGAAGGTGGTGGAGAGCTGGGCAGAAGAGCTGCCCATCAAAAGGAAGAGCTGCAGAGCTAAAGCCAAAACCACCATTTTTTTGGGAGTGTGAGAAACAGTGATTGCCATTTTTAGGCTAATTGGGAAGAGAAGTGTGGTGGACATGATTGTGGTTTGATTAAGGGCTATTTATACACTGTTTAAAGGGGGAGAGAGAGAGTAGAAAAATGTGGAAATTTTAGAGATTGAAAATTAAAGGCATTTAATATGAAGATGGGCCAAATTTTGGCATTGGTCGATTGGTAGATTACCTAATCTCTTCAAAGACAAAGACTGGCAATTGCATGGATTGGATTTATATGTCTGCAAAATTATAGAATAGGTTAAAAAATGATAATAATAAAGAAGACTTTGTTTGAATTGATTGATGTTTTGCCTAAAAGTATAAAATAGATTAAAATTTTGATAATGAATTATTCTCACAAGTTTGGGTTTAAATTTTTTTGTGGGTTTGATTTGGTTTTGGCTCAATCAGAGTTTAAAAAGGAAAAAACTTTGCTTCTTAACAGGAGCATTCTTAACAGGAGCATTGTGCTCCTTACCCTCATGTGGCCCTATAAAAACAAGACAAGCGTTGGTTGTTGCTTCTTTTAATTATTTTATTAAATTTCCTTAATCTSATCAAAATCTCCCTAAATCTCTTTGAATTCTTTTTTAGATTGGTTCGACGACTTTTCTCTCTTTTTTCTCTCTCCCTACACTTCTCACTTCCTTCTTTTTCTCTATTCTTCGTCTACCTTTTTTCTCAACTTTGATGCAGTATTGATATTTGATCATTTGAAGTTAGAAGTTGAGGGAGAATAATAAATTTAATAACTTTAATCCAATATCCCAGAACTTCTTCAAATTACATTCATTTGCAAAAATGGTTATGAACAACAAATTGCAGACATCCTCCATCTAAAATTAGAAGATAGTAAGGCACACAACGAAACAATAGAAGAGAATATTATACAATTTAGGCAACTTCTCGTCAATCACTTAAAACTACGAAAAATAAAAATTAGATTTTATATATATGTGTACACCTTTAAATTGTGGATAAATATTTGTGGAGATTCATCTTTCATTGGATAAACTTGAGTTGCATCAATTTTAAAAACAAAGTGGAGATGAAGAAAATAGAAGAAAATGATGTTAGAGTACTCTTGAAGTTGAGAAGAAAATGAACAAGATGAGAGAAAAAGAAGGGAGTGAGGAGTTGTACGAAGAGAGGAAGTGAGAAAAAAGAGATTTTGATGAGATTATGAGATTTAATAAAATAATTATAAAAAAAGCAATAACCAAACACTTGTCTTGTTTTTATAGGGTCGCGTGAAGGTAAGGAGCACAGCGAAGTTTTTTCAATTTAAAAATTGAGCTTATATAATATTTAGTGGACGTGTGTTTTCTCAAAGAAATAAAATTTTAAGTACTTTTCAAGCCACTTCTGATTATTGAAAATTTTTAAAATCATTTTGACTAGGTTAAAAACACTATTTAATTAAAATTTTAACTAAATACTATATATATATATATATTTTAATTTAGTCATCCATGGGCACTTTGAAAAGTATACGTCAAACATGCACTTAGTCCATACCATGAATCAAAACTTATGAATCATACTTTTCTTTTGTAATTTGAAATTATGAGCCAAATATAGCAGTGGTTTAACCTATAAGAACACGAAAAAATATAATAATTCACGCGTCGAAGTTCTTGTTAACATTTAAATAGATGCACCCGACCAACCATACGGTTAATCAACCAAAATATAATATATCCATGGATGAAAGGGAGGATTATTATTGTAATTAGTGAGGTGGGGCTTGGACTGTGTGATAATTATTGAAGCTTCGATCCATTTAGTCAAATTAGAAGGGTCCACAAAAGCAAACTTTAGACTAAAAGAGTGGATTATTTTGAATAATTCATATTTTTGGGCCTAAATTTTAATTTTTTGAATCTTTTATTTTCCTTTATTTTATTATGTTTGTTTGTTTGTTTTTTTTTTTTTATATAAAGTTAATTGTGCGAATCTTAAGCAACCACGAGGCCCATGCATGCAGCGGTAGTTTCCGCAGGGACTTTATAATTTGAGCAGCCACTTTGAAATTTCCTAGTTTGCAATAATGACAATTTTACCATAAAGTAACATTAATCATTGTTTTTCTTTACTTTTTTTTTAGATAAAAAAATGTGCATTTAATCAACACAAGTATAATATTAAATTTTGAACTTGTTGTAACCAAACATATAATTAATTAGCAAGAAAGCTTTCTAAAAACTAATTATATTAAATTATATAACTCCTTTAATTAGCTTGAAGGGGAGGCCAAAATGTTTGAAAAAATGGAGAGAAGTTTAATAACCAATGTACTTTAGTAAGTACCGAATACTTTCCCTTTAAAATTAATATGTATTTATGAGGCTTTGAAAATAGATATATCTTTCTAATGTGATGTATTATTTGACTGGACAAATATATGGAGATCTTCAATTTCAAAGCACATATGAGTTTTTTTTATTAATAATCAAAAAAAAATTAACAACAATATGATTACAAATGATTTCTCATAAAAAAAAATTAAGAACCAAGTTGGAATATTAAAATAGAATATTTAATTTTTTTAAATGAACATTAATTGTTGAATATAATATGTTGGCTTTTTGTAAAGGATGATTGATTCCACCAAATCCCATCATTATGCTTGATTTTGTAGTAGAGAAAGCCAACTAAGGCAAGGCTCTTTGTGGGTCTATTTTTTCAATTTAGACGTCTTTTTCTATATTTATTTTGGATAAAGATTACGCAAACTTGTAATTTAAGGAAAATTATAACTTTTCCACACATTGACCATTGGAAAAAGTATTTGTAGACGAACCATATGTTGATTGTCCCTTGTTGGAAATGTGTGGTGGACTTGTATAAAGTGATAATATAATATATTTTAAAATATATATATGCTTTTTTATTTTTTTTATTTAAAATTTTAGTCCTGTACTCTCAATTTTGATTCATTTTGATCATTGTATTTTCAACTTTAGTTCATTTAGTACTTTCAAAATATTTGTTTTGGTCCTGTACTTTTGAAAAATGACCATTTTGGTTTTAATTTTAAAATTTTAAATATAAATTCTACAAGTAAGGAAAATCTTTTTAATATAAAGACATGATTACATTTTAATAAATATATTGAGAGTAGTGTTGCGTTGAAGTTGTGTTAGAAAAATGAGATTAAAAATGAAATTAAGGGACCAAAATAGTCACTTTTTAAAAGTATTAAGGACCAAAATGAATATTTTAAAAGTAGAGGAACAAAATGAATTAGATCTGAAAGTAAAAGGACCAAAATAGTATTTTAACCATAATTTAATATAAAATTAGAACGAGAAACCTTGAGTTCAAATGCTTATGGCATATCTATTTCACTCTATTTGATATTGATATTATTGGATCTATGTGTTGTTAAGTCTCGTGTTAATTTCCAATAGAGAAATAAAAATCTTTCTTGAGACGAGGTCAATTTAGTAGAATAAAATTTTCCGTAGGATATATTTTCAATTGCCACAAGTCGTTTCTCAAGTTGGATTAGATCATTAGTTTGTATATCTCATTATCATGTGAAGCAAGCTAGAGTCATTTTAACATTATTTCCAACTCAAATTACTAATATTTTGAAATTAAACGTCATATAAAGAGTAAAATTGAAAACAAACCAAAGTCAAAATGAAGAAAGAAAAGAGCAAGTTCTTATTTTTTTAAGAAGTAAAAAATAATGAAAACGTGGAGACTAAGTCAAAGTAATTAGGAGCATTTTAATGATTATGTATTGGTTTGACTTAGAGTTTTAATTAAATTAGAATAATTAAACTCTCAGCCAATAAAGCTCGAATTTGGTGATGCCATCACCATCGCCACCGCCAATATATTATTATATTGAATATTTATTTAGGGTTCGTTATTTATTGTTTGATTAATTTTTTTTTTTTTTTTTGCAAAGGATTGTTTGGAATTTTCATGTGAATGGGATTGATTCGTCCTTATATTTTCTGTAAATTAATGTAACAAGGATAAAAAATATCTTCTTATTGACTTTTTTCTCTCTCTCTCTCTTTCTTTCGGAAATAGAAGAAAAGTATATATAATTTAATGCTGACAATTTGCAAGACTTTGAAGTTTCTTTATATCTTTGTGTTGGTTATAATCCTTTTACCATTGATTTTGGTTCATTTCGGGTTCATATATACTTTCAATTTTTGGGAGAGATGCTTAAGGTATAGCGACGCATACCCCGAGTTCTGAAGATCGATCTTCGGGTGAGATGTTAATCGAGCTTCAACCAACGAAAGTCGAAACACCAAATTTGAAGGGTAAGATAAAAGTACTAAACGAGAACTAGCAATAGGATTGAGGCACATGTGGTCACCTCGACCTCTCCCGACCCCTAGCCCTCGACAAGCCAACAAGGATAAAATCTATTTTTCCATAGGAGAAGGAGCTGTAATAACCCTCTCCAAAATCACCCATCAACCTGTAGGGTGGAAGTTCAAATTTATGACTTTTTTATTCGAGAAATGTGTGTTAACCAATTGAGTTTCGCTTAATTGGCAGAGGTCGTCGAGTCGCACATATGCTAAAATTTATATTATTAGACTGGCAAAAATAATTGTTTCATGATAGCCACCACGGTCAAATTATTGTCCCCATATATTCTCTATAATTAATATTCCAATAAAAAACAAAAAGAGAACAAAAACTTTAGTCAACATTTATTTAGTATAACAAAGTTGGAACAATATATTGAAAAAAAATAAAGTTTGAATGTGAATTTCTTTTGTTCAGTATAATAAATTGGAGGTAGGAAGGGTTCAATCTCTGATAAAAAAGAAATAATTATCGATTACTGTTTAATAATGTTCATATTATTTACATGTGATAAAAAAGAAATAATTATCAACTATTGAATAATGATCATGATAGTTACATGTGAATGGACTAATTTAATAATTTTGATATATTATTATTAATGAAGTTGGAGTTAAATTATATCATTATAGCGAAATCTGATATCAAAGGACAAGGGTCAAGAAGATTAAACAAATAAAATTATATCATTAACCAGAAAACAATCTTTAAAAGAAAAAATACACATCATCCACACTTGCATAAAGGCTTATGTTATTTGCTCAAACGAATTCAAAATAAAAAAAAAAAACAAAAAACAAATTATTCTTCATCACAATTGAAGTTGGAACAGTTTGAGATTTCGACATGTCGATCAGTTGTGTCTGCTGCAGACCTTCCTAATCTGGCCCTGCGATCCAGTCAGTGGCTCAATATCGCCCATCTTGATCATGGCCGCCACAAAATCGGACTCGAAGGCGTCGCTGTCGTCGCCGTAGAGTTCGACCAAGGAGTCGGTGGATCCACCATCGTGAAGCACTTGATCGGAGCGGAACAGAGCCTTTTTCTCGAGAAGGTTCTTGTAGAAGTAGTTGTCGAAAAGCTTGTGGGTTCTGAAGTCCAGAGGGGCATGATTGTCGTCCCCTCCATTTGTAGGGCAGTTCCTTTGCCTCTCCTCTGCGAACGACTCGTCGATGTTGGTCTCGTTGTATATTCGATTCTTGAAAAACAAACATCTCGCCTGACCGATCGTGTGGGCACCTGCATGCATGCATACACCGTGACGATCAAATTTGTATGTTCATAATAATCGTTTGATAACCAAAACGAACATAGTTCAACGATAATTGACATATATGTCCAACCAAGAGGTTATGAATTCGATCCCTATCCTCACATATTGTACTAAAAAAAATAATCTTTTGATATTAAATTTGACATTTAAGATAATATATAAGATGCATGTACCTGATAAGGCAACCAAGTCTCGTGTGGAGAGACCTTTGGAACCGAATCGGTTGATGAGGGTGTCGAGAGTGGAGGTCGGCGGAGGAATGGCGCCACTGTTGGCAGCGGCGAAGCTGGCTGTTTTGGAATCTCTTCTTCCCAATTTCACCTCCCAACTTGGCCCTCCGAGCTGAAAATAAATAATTAATTTATAAAAAAAAAACATTCGTTAACATCACCAGACCAAACCAAACCAGTTTTGTAAGGTAGGAGGTTTAGAAAGTTAATTAATGAGAATAAAATAACTCACAGTTACAACAGAATCTCGAGCAGAGAGAGTCAAAATATCAGCGCATGATACAACACCAGGACAAATTTTTTCAACATTTTTCTTTATACTCTCAATCACATTAAACCCTCTAACGGATCTATTATTGGGAGCCGCCGTTTGCTCCCCTCTAAACGTAGGAGTATCTTCCAGAAGAATCGATCCATCGCAACCCTAATCAAGGATATCATTTGCACAAAATTAACCAAAAGCAAGAATAAAGAACATAAAATGTATAGCAAAAGAGTAGAACTTTTTCATACGTTAACAAAGCAGTCGTGGAAGTGGAGGCGGAGAAGAGAAGCGCCCATGCGAGCTTCCTTAGCGACGGCAGAGCGGATACCGGCTCTGACGGTGCTGAGGAGCTTGGGGCAGCTCTTGTAGTAGAAGTTGGGGGAGAGCTGAGCTGAGGAGCTCCCCAAGAACACAGCCAACAAGGCTAAAACCAAAGCAATGGCCATTTTGTTGGGAGAAGAAGAAGCAGCTGAAATAATAGCCATTATTATGCTAATGAATTTGGTGATAATATATTATTATCAGTAGAAAGCGAGTGAGAGAAGTGTGGATGATTGAAGTTTGAAGAAGGGAATTAGGCTATTTATACAAAAGATATTGGAGAGATTTGGTATTAATTTGGTAGTAGATGGCCTGAAACTTGAACAGAAGAGACCCAGTAAAATTATTGGGACTGGAATTTTCCAACGTCTAGAAAATAATGATTAAACAAATTAAACACTTGAAATACAAGTTTTTTAAGAGTTAATTGGCAGAAGCCTTTTGAATGGGTTGTGGTGGGCAGGTGGATTATTAATTTGTGATCAAATTAGTCAATTTTGAAGGTTTATTTTATTGTTTTTGGCTCATCGGCATATTTTGAACAGTTCGTTTTCATTTGCTTTGTTGCAGCTGAAAGCCGCCGCCGCCGCCGCCGCCTTCTTATTGCCCATGATACATTATTGGCTCCAGAAATTATTGAGGCAGACGCAGCCACTGGCCACACCATGGAAATTCGACAACCTTAGCTTGACAGTCTTTTAAAAATTCATGATATATGATATATATTTTAAACATCAAATTACCGTTAATTTTTAAAGTTGTGTAATTTTTGAAAATATTATAATGAGTCTCGGTTTTGTTAGGACAAAAGGAGATTTAGACGAAAAAGAATCATTGTTGTGCCGTTAAAAATGACACTAGCAAGCAATTTCGACATGATCTGGGTACTACATCATATATTTACCGGTTGCTTCTCAAAGTTAACACAACTTCGAATTCAGAAGTAAACTCGTCGGAATTGAATGGAATCTGAAGAGATGCTCATAAAGATTTTGTCGATGGTCTCGACGATTTCCCTAGCCGCAGCGAGGAGTGTTGTTCCGTGGTGATGTCTGTAATTTCTTATATGTGGCCGGTCGATGGTCGTATTTCGAGGATTTCACCATCAATTCAGTGGAAGTGCATTCCGATAGCATCAATTTCAATGTTCTCCAGTGTCGATTTCGAGGAAGGGAAGGAGGAGGAACAAGGAGAGAAGGGGAGAACAATGCTATTTAGCCTAGGTCAAATGAGAAAAAAAAGGCCTCAATTTTATTAAAAACCGAACCGAACTAAACATTTTTCGATTTGAGTCAGTTCGATTCGGGTTCTTACACCTCTACTTTAACTTACGTGTTTAAATAAATTTTTAATTTTTAATTTTATGCGCAATAGATCCTTTTGAACATAAAATGAGAAGTGTAGTGATTAAGATATTTCTACCTTTGTGATATTCTTAAAAAAAAGATCAATTAGATACATATCTTGAGACAAAACTAAATAATTTAACATGAAATTTGTTATAATTTATCAACTTCTAGTTGCGATGATTTAAGGTAAAAGATTATGAGAGTTTTATTATTTTCTATTTCTTTTTAATTTTTAATTAATACTGATTTTTAATTTTATAACATAAGTCATTACCCTTTATCAACTTTTGATCTCTGAATATCTTCCAGTAATATTGTTAGAAAGATACTTAGTTTCTTACTAGTTTGTAAATTGACTACTCATTAATTTAAAAAAAAAAGTTCACCGTTTTTACATTTCTCTTTTTGTTAGTACAACAATGTGAGTATAAATATTGGAACGAAACATTTTTTTGTTAGATATAGATATCTTAACTCATTCAACTCTACAAATTTGACTCAAATTTCTCTTTTTCTTTAGAAATATTTAATAAGAGTGAGAAGAGAAGAAGTATTAAAAATATTTTTAATATTGTAAAAGATAAAAAGACAGCTTATTTAGAAAAGGTCAAAGTTAAATGTTGTCTCCTCCAAGAGAATCACACGGATTCCACGAAAGATGCCGAAAAATAAATTTTAGAGAAGTTTTCGGTAGTCTATTTTTCTATGAACATATGTCAACAACTTTTTTTTTTTTTTTTTACCATTGGTTACGATAGTGATTTTCTTGTTTAAAGTTTCTAAAATTAAATTGAGTTTTTTTTTCTCCTCGTCTTGAACCACAGGATCTTTCTTTAAAAAACAAATCATTTCACTCTCTATTGAGAGCTTATTCTTATCTCGATCAAATTCATTTTCTCTAAAGCACATCACTTTTAACACTTGGAGAATCAATAGGATTAAGTTTGAGATATGACTTTTATACTTGTTAGGACAACAAACAATCTCTCTATTATTTTTATAACGATATGATATTGTCAATTTTGAATGTGAGCTTATAATGTGACTTACTTTTTTGTTTAACTGAAAAAGCTGAAGATTTTTTTTATCGAGTGTTAATGAATATGTTGGTTCTTAATTACTTATATAACACGTATTTTCCTTTATTAAAATTGAGGTAAGATTAGTTCACATTATTAACCTCTTTATGCTTGAATTATTAAAATAAAAATCTTTTTTTATACAATATGTGAGGATGAAAATCAAACTTACAATCACCGTTGAGTTAAATTTTTTCAATTTGCATGGATATGGAATTTTGACCAATAGTTCAGAATAGTTGAAGGAAACACATGGAGCCCGCAGAGATTGACTCAATCAATAAAATGCAGTAAGCAAGCTTGGTTGAAAAGATAACTACCAACTCTTCATCCTTCATAATTATCGCACATTATTTTAAATTAATTAATTCATATATTCAACAGATTTTTTTTTTCGAGAAGGAAATAGTAAAAAAAAAAAAAAAAAACCCTCTATTTACACTACGCGTAAACGATTTTTCTTTTTCCCTAAATATATTTATAAATAATAGTGGCCTTACACGCGTAAGTAGAAATTTTTATTATTTCGATCTGACATATTTTTGTGAGTATATTTGTATTGTATTTTTTCTAATCCAATACATTTGAATTGTGAAAGTTCGAACGTTTGTCCTTAAAGAAAGGAGTAGATTACGTATATATACCGATGAACTATAATCCCGTCTACTTATCATGAATCTTAATCAAAGAATCGTAATAAAAATTTTAATTTTTTTTATGTTGTTTATCAATTTGTAGAAATGAAATCAAATGGTTAGACTATCTCAAACTTGTTAATCTCATTCTTTAAAAAGGGTGTAATCTTATTATTCTCCTATAACTTCGTTGCTCTTATTCTCATTCATTATCTCTCGTGTGCACCATATGCCTATTATAATTACTTTACAATTTTTACTCTTTATCTATTGTACCCGTGACTTTTTTAATTAATTGTTTTATACTTTCTATTATTTTTTTCATTTATATTACAATAAATTATTAGTTGATGTAAATTTATTATAAAATATTATAAATTTATAATCCATTAATATAAATATATTTGTTAAAATATAAATCATTATTGTTAAATATGGGAATAATAAATTTTAATAATATATCTTAAATTAAATAGTGGTTGTTATAACAACAAATTATTTTATTTGATGTAATTTTATTATAATTATTTATTATTTATTGACATTAAATAATTGTTGGTAATTGATATATACCTCGCAACCAGTTGGGAGTTCGAATCCTCCCCCAATATGTTGTACTAAAAAAATTGTTATAATAACAAAATATTTACTATTAATGATATAGTAATAAATTAAATTAAATTTATTATTATTGTAATTAAGAAGAGATTAACACAATATTCCGATTCCAATCTCATATTTCCATTTCGATTGATTTTCATTCCGATAACAGTTCCTAATAAGTAAACGGTGCCTATGTTCATGTAGTCATATTAACTACTTCCATTGCATTTAATAAATGAGTAAATCTACTAAAAGTTTAAAAATATGCTACACCATAATTCATAAGTTAATACACAAGTATTTTTACTTATCAAAAAAAAAAACACAAGTGTTTTTCTACATTGATTTTTTTTTAATTTCAGGGTTTTTTCTTTCCTGTAATAGTCTAGAATATTATTATTATTATTTAAATTAATTTCTGTCAACTCCATTGTCATGTTAGATACAATTTGGATAAAGTAACAAGATTTTTGGTGGCTTCATCGAGTAATTATCATAGTTAGTATTTTGCCATTAAATTTTGTATCCGAAACCAATCTTACCACGAGCTTTTAATAATATGGTTGTGATATGTCATTATGTGCGACTATCTCCACTATACAAAGAAAAAGAAAGAGCAAATTCGCTAATAAATACAAAAAAAAAAAGATTTCTACATATGTATTGTCCAAACTAACGATTTGTATCTGTTACAAAGAAAGAAACTTCATATGATTGTCGTAATTTAAGAAGGTAAAACACTTGTTCTGTGAGGATCTATATAATCTTAACTATTATTGGACTGGTTACGTTGTTTATTTAGCCAAAATTAAAAGTGAGACAGTAAAAAGAAAATGAAAAAAAGGGCAAAAAACAGTAGAATCGAGATTATTATCCAATAACCCGGTTGTGAAGCCAAAATACTCTGTTGCAGGCCAAACATGGATTCTCCGTCAGGGCCATCACGGCCGCACCTCCCCGTAGCGCGTAATCGCGGGATGCTTCAGTCGGAGACTGAGAGATTGAGCAGTGAGGCTGGAGGATTGGAAGCTTCCTTGCTTCAGATGGTCCACGATCACCAGTTCGCCTCTCTCAAGCTCCGGCAAGACTCCGGTTAGTTTCTATTTGATCTCTCTCTTAACTCCTTCACTCTCTCCTTTCATAATTCTTTGCTGCTAATGATTTCAAAAATTTTCTGAAATTAAATCGTAATTTCGTCGTTCTGAATCATCGTGATAGAGAAGGCGAAGAAGGATGCTATTCAGAAGGCGGTGCGCGTTTCGGATCTTTTAGTGCATGCTGTGAATGGTGGAGTTCAGGAATCGTTTGTCAACCAGAAGCTGATTGAGCTCGAAATTAGGGCTTTAGCGGCCACGATTTCCCGATTTATGAAGCAGACTGATCAATGGCTCACCACTACTCACGCTCTGAATACCGCCATTAAGGTTTGCTCTCATTTCTATGAAGGCTAATTTTTAGTTTTTATCTCTTAGAAACCTACATTTTAGCTGTATACACAGCGCACAGACACATAAATTATGCATTGTTGCGAAGGGGAGGCTGCTCAATCTTATTAACGAACCATAGTTGGTTGGACTAGTAGTCAATATGAGCCGATGTAGATAGCAAAAGGCTTAGAGAAAATTAGTTTAAACTATAGTGGCCACATACATGAGATGAATATTACATATATCAATAGCAAAATGCCCTTAAAAGGGGATAAGATCAAACCATGATGACCACGTATGTAAGATTTAATATCCTACGAATTACCTTGAAAACCAAATGTAGTTAGGTTAGACAGTCGTCTAATGAGAAGCAAGCTATCCCAAACGTTTTAGAACTTTTAAAAGTCAATTAAATGATGTAGAGACAGAAATCGAGCTTAAAGGATTAGTTGATAATGCTTTTGATTCTACCTGGTACCCACATCTGCATCTAAGGATTTTCCTCTAATAGTGGTCTAAATGTTGCATACGGCTTGTGTACGGTAATAAGCAAAAGAGGAGACAGAGATGAGGAAAATACACCAGCACAGTGGCTGGGCACAGAGCACTACATTAAATAGGCAGAAGACATTACACGGGTCAACACAGTAGAGGATAGGAAATAACAGAAAAGAGTGCTTTCTTTTATTATTTTTTTTATATCCGTGTGTTCGGGCCAGCTTGCGCGCACCTCAACTATTCACGGGCCAACCGCCTGACCCTACTAACAAGGAAACTCGTAGGATATTAAATGAAATAACAGGAAAGAGTGCTATGAGATAACCAAAGGAAAACACAAGATTAAGGAACTAACAAACACTTTAACAGCTTGCATACGGGCCATCTGTGTCATATGAAGAGCCTGTGAACTATTAGACATTGAGTTGTTATGCATTTTGTTAGCGTATTGTTAGAGCTGTTCTGAATTCTTAGTTTTGGTTAAAACATTTTCTGTTAGATTCATTACAGTGATCAGTTATTGAAAGTCAGTGGCTGAGCAGTATATATATTACCAGGGCCCTGTACTTTTGTATCAAGAAGAATATGAATATAAGTGCAGTTCGTGAAACTTAAGTTGGGCTATTTTGCAGCTATTTTTTGTTGGCCTGCTTCTTCTTGTTTTGTTGGATACATATAAAGAATCTTATCACAATATATTAGGCAATTTTAGTCTGCATATTATTATTTGACTTCAGACTTAGTATTGATGAAACAATAAGCAACTTCTTTGTATCTTGGATTCACATGAAGACTTGTTGAAGACTTGAAGTTGATGAAACCGGTTGAAAAGAATGGCATGAATATCACAGTCTTGAAAGTGCAAACTACAAAAGGCTGCCTGGCCTTTTTCTTTTATGTTTTCGTCATATCTTCCTTAGGTTTTCTTTCTGTCCTTTTTTCATTCTGATATGTCATGCATACTAATTTAATATGTGTTCATATTGTAGGAAATTGGAGATTTCGAGAACTGGATAAAGACCATCGATTTTGATTGTAAAAGCATCACTGCTGCCATCCATAACATTTACCAAGACTGAAATGCTAGTAGTTAAGAGTCAAACCATCCTTGCTTTCACGGAGCTTATTCTGTAGAGTTGGAGAAAACAAAGATCATCATCCTCTGCTTTAAGTTCGCGGATTTGTGCCCCCATAACATAGCTTGTTAAGTTTATATGGCATAAGGACCATGAAGGGTGCATATACAGATGGAAACTTATTAGAAACTTAGGACACCTCAGTCGACCAACTTGTCAATAACTCGTCGACTCTGCTTTAAGTTCGCCGATTTCTTTCTCGTTAACACAGTACATGCTGTCATTTTATCTATTTATTGCTTATGTAAACATCAATCTTCTCTTTACAATTATTAGCTTCTGCCATGTAATAATCAGTCTCTGTATTCTTTCAATTAGGTGGGCTTGCAATGGACTTCTGTTTTTAGTTGGAGGGAATATCTATTGAATTTTCCCCGCCTAGATTAGCTGAGCTACAGGCCTTTCCAGCCATTATAATTTTCTCCTAGTTTTCTCTAAATTAAGTTCTCACTCCCATGTCTCAAGCCATAACAATGATGCCACTTGTTCTTAACCTTTCACATGGTTCTTTACTGTAACAGATGACTGTATCTTTGTTGGCAAATTCCGCCGTTGTCTCATCTCCAAGCGTTCTGGAGGAGTCCTATTTAGTCAGAATTGAGCTGAACCCGCTGATGAGAATGCTTCATGTGTTATTTCTTGATTTGTCTTGGACGTCAACAGCACAGCCTTGGATTTGGAGGATACTCATGCTGAGGTACACCTTATCCCTCCTTGCTATTAAAATGATTATGCTTGTTCTTATTTGGCCAGAACATAATGAACAAAGTCTAAAGCCCTTGTCTAGTCTCCATTTGATTGATGGTTATAGAGTCGAAGTTGTTTCGTTAGGTCAAGTTGGTTATAAGCAAACCCAAACAATGGAAGTGATATGAAAATGAAATAAAAAGGATGACCAACAAGCTTTACAACGGGTAGAAATGCTAAGGTTGAAAGAACTATGCTAGTGACACCCTTTTGTAGTGACTTCGAATCAATAGGCCTCTCCTCTTTGATAATTAATACATTCATGCAAGGTCTCAGTTTTGAATCTTGTGGTGAGCTTAATACCAACCAATTTTTATGTCTCTCAGGTCTGGGCGTCCGAATGTCCTTGGATATAAGGGAGCAAAGTTCTGACTCTTAGTTCTAAAAAAAATAATAAATAATACACTCATGCAAATTTTGTTTCTCAAATTTTTTTTCTTCTGTAGACCTTTCAAAATATAAAAAAGAGTTTGAAAATGTAATTTATATTTTTGTGTGGTCAGTTGTGTGTTTCTTATTCCTATACTTTATTATTTATTAGAAACACACCTAGCCATTTTTGTCCTTTTTTTGAGCTCACACTTGAGCCAATTAACACTTAAAAGATAATTTTATCTTTATTTATGAACAATTATTTAAGAACAGTATAAAAAAAAATTCATTTTGAAAAAATGGTTTCACAACGTGTTTTTTAGTTAGAATAGAGGGGATTTTTTTAAAAAAATAGGAATATTATTTTAAGTATAACTTCAAATACTTCTTTTAATTCAATGTTTCGGAGAAAAGATTATATTGGCTATTACTAGTTCCTAAAAGACAATGTCAATTATTGTGATTACTACTTCCAATTTTTTTTTTTAAAAAATAAATAATATAATATTCTTATTTATTTTAAATATTATCAAACTTGCAAATTTTAAATGTATATTTAATCCCATCAAATATATATAATCCGAAAATTGAACTGCACTGTCAATTAGACAATCCTACTTGTCCAAAACGTCACATTCTAATTCTTCACCGACTCTTAGTTTATAGTTAAAAAAATTCCTTGACATAAAATAAAAGTCAAAGAAAAACTCTTCAATTAATTGGTCAGAAGCAATGATTGGATTAATATATAAAGAAAGAAAACCTTGGTTACGGATTAGGCAGGAAAAAGTTTTATAGTTTCACATAGTGATTCCATTTATACCATAGCTTGATTATAATAGGATATAGTACTACTTTATACTCTAGCAGTGATCCCTCTTCACATTTTGATGTGGTTTTACTCTTTCTGGAGTAAAATTTTGGTAGAACTCTTGCCTATTATTTGCTCTTAGTTCTTAGAATATAGTCTCCAAAAATGATTGAAAAAAGTGTGGATAAAGGAAGTTTAGTGGAGGAATGGGGCAACTGTAGTAGGTGAAGAAAATGGGAAAATTTTAAAACAAAAACAGTTGACTTCCCAATATATATATATTATAGCTAATGGTGAATAGCTGGGAAGGAAAAAGTATTTCACAAGTTAACCAATTGGCTACTGTTTAATATAAATTACTTGGTCAAAACCAACCTTAAGTATTGTGTCTCTTTGTATGGCATTGACCCTTCTTTTAAAAAATACTCATTCTTCCTTTTCCTTTGAGGCCAAGTTTTAGTTCCAAGTCTAAACTTTGCTTGAGAGGTACACATACTCATAGGTTAGAATTCTATTCTATATTTTATTTTTTCAGGCAAATTTGGTACCGAAGGTTAAACAAGTGGCAGAATAATTCAGGGCAGTGGGCGGTGTATTTCTTTAACTTGGAGCCAATTTCGTTGGCAAATTTAGTGTTGAAAGTTGGAAAGTGGCAGCATTATATGGTGACAAGTGTAGGATACAAACTGAAACATAGGAGTAGTTTTAGAGAATACCGTTAATTTGATGGTCAACATGAAGATGATAGTGCCGGCGGATGACATCTAAGTAATTGTTCTACAAATAAATAGGAGATTTTTTTTCTTTTTATTAATATAACTATGTAAATTTTCTAGTAATATTCTACGAGTTACCTTGTCAATCAAATGTAGTAGGGTCAGACGGTTGACCCATGATTAGTCGAGGTGCGCGCAAGCTGGCCCGGACAAACGGATTCCAAGAAAAAAAAAAAAACAAAACAAAACTATGTAAATTCTTCATCTCCTTGGTTCCTTTTTCTTTTAGCTTTTGAGCAAGTACAAGTAAATTCTTCATCTCCTTTTTTTACCCACTTTGTGCAATTCACTTGAAATTTATAAATATGTATGTAGGTATATTCTATTTGTACATGGTAAATATGTATGTTATTTTGAAGAAGTTTTCTCTCGTTTTTACCACATACACGAGATTTATCGTACCGCTTCATGTGTTTTTGTGTGATATTTGTCTTAATGTTATATGTTGTTCGTGAATATTCTCAATAAGTTAACCACGCATTTATTATCGTGTTCAATTTGTTGTTTCTCTTGGTATATTCTTGTCATTTTTGTGAAAATGAATTCTTTGTACTAGAAGTCTAGCATTATGTTAAATAAACTGAACTCAATTTGAATTATAAAATTGTTTGAAATAGTATTCATTTTTCTTGAGACTAAATCTTTTGAATTGAGGATAAAAGAAAAATATATCATGAACCAATGAACCGTTGGTTCGTTTATTTTTAGTTTTATATCAATTAATTTTAGTAGGTCAAACGATTGATGAATCTGTTCTTCAAAGATTGCATGTTTGGACACCACTAGACATAAAACAAAAACGATTAGATTATATTGAACTTGACACAATTAGTATATTCTCAACGAGTTATTAGCCAACAATTTCTAGATTCCTAAGTAGATTATTTTTCGGGAATTTGTAATGAGTAGCTAAAATATTTGTCATATTTGTAAATGTAGCAATAACTTTTGAGTTTTGCAAATATGACAAAATATTTGAAACTTGATTTATTAGATTTTTTTAGTTATTTCAATTTTATCATTTTAGCCTTTTAGATATATCAATATATCATTGTTATATTCTAAACGCTCTTTCTAATTTCTAGTTTTATTAAGAAATTTAAGTATTTGACAACTATTTATGTTTAAAAAATGTTACTAAAATTGTATAGAAAATTTGGAAAAAAAAAAGTTTCTTGTTTCTTGGTCTCGAAATCAAGTGTTTTTTTTTTTTAATAAAAAATCAGAAATAGTTATAAATCTAATTATTTTTTAATAAATTTTTTCGAGGAAATAAAAGACAACAGACGAACAAATTGGCACTTATTAGCAACCATTTCTGTATTCCTAAGTAGTTTCATCAGCTGTCCATTAGTAACATCCCACGAATTTGAGTTAGTTTAAAGTATTATCATTGGTCTGAATCATTCCATTCCAACCACTTGTACTTTTGTTAAAAAAAATAATAAATAAATAAATAAAATACAGAGATTTACCTGTGATTTTAATGTAGCATAAAATAATTAAGATTTGTTTGATATTATTATACTCTTTTGTTTCTAAAAATAAGATTACTTATCTACCGTTTTGGTTACGATTATAAAAATGTTCAAAATGAAAAAGTAAAATATAGGAAATAAAGATTATTTATTTATTTATTATTATTATTATTTTGGATAAAGGAAATAAAGAAGTTAGCAATAAACAAGCATGATCTTTTGACAGAGAAAATTAAAATGAAAATAATTATGGATTGTTTTTTTATCCTCTATATTTATTTCAAAATTGTTTGAGAAAATGATGTTTGAAATGACAAGTAAAAGCTAATGTTATTGGACAAGTCGAATTACAACTTTTTTTCCTTTTATTTTTGACTACGAGAGGGATCGAAGCTGGATGTTAGGTATCAACATCCAAGCCTCTTGTCACTGTGCTAACATTCGAGGATGCGCCTTTTTTCCTCTTAAACCAAGAACTTTGATAATATTACTTAAAGAAAATTTCAGAAAATATTTATTATAAAATATGGAAAACATATATTTTTGAAAACAGAGATTGGAACAAGCCTAATGTGTGCAAAATATCAAATTCTCAGCTTATGCATTAATATTTTCTAATCACCATATTATAGAAGACTTGGTCATTCTCTACTCTTAATGATGTAGACAATTTAACAAAAAACTCTCATTTTTCCCTATATAAAGCAAACACATTCATCATCTACTTCACAGTGAAAATTCAAAGAAAATCAATTGAGAGATTATAAAACTAGCTAAAGCCAATAGTATCTCCAATGGCAGCCCTTCTTCGCTCTATTTTGCTCTGTGTTTTTGTTCTATCAGCTGCTCTGAGCAATAGCCAAGCACAGCTGACTCCAAACTTTTACAACAAAGTCTGCCCCAAGGCCTTGTCCACCATAAAATCCGTTGTCTGGCAGGCCATCAAACGAGAGCCCCGCATGGGAGCTTCACTCTTACGTCTTCATTTCCACGACTGCTTTGTTAACGTAAGTCACCATATTATCAATTATTCTGAACAGTTGTATTAATATTCCTAGAGTTACATCTCAAAACTGTATATCATAAATTTTGTTAGGTACGGTCTTTTTATCTTTTCAACGCGTGATTCTTAGCGATTTGACACATTTTTTGGCTATTAGGGTTGCGATGGGTCGGTTTTGTTGGACGATATTGCCAATTTCGTAGGAGAAAAGACCGCCTTCCCTAATATAAACTCAATAAGAGGATTTGAAGTCGTCGACCAGATCAAGACGCAGGTTAATAAAGCTTGCAAAGGCAACGTAGTGTCTTGTGCTGACATCTTGGCCATCGCTGCTCGTGACTCCGTCGCAATTGTGAGCTTCTCTTGACTCTTAGACTGCGTATAAAACTAACACTGAACTCAAAAGATTACTCAACCAAATATGAGGTTTGTTTGTTTGTTTTCACAGCTTGGAGGGCCAAACTACAAAGTACTAATGGGAAGAAGAGATGCAAGAACAGCAAGCGCCAGTGACGCCAACAACAATCTGCCTCCGCCATTTTTCAGCTTCTCACAGCTTCTGTCCAACTTCCAAGCACATGGGCTGGACCTTAAGGACCTGGTGGTGTTGTCGGCCGGCCACACCCTCGGCTACGCCCGCTGCGCCACGTTTCGGACCAGGATTTACAATGACACCAACATCGACCCGAAGTTTGCAGCGGCGTTGCGGAGAAAGTGCCCGCAGAGCGGCGGAGATGGGAATCTTCAGGGCCTTGATGCCACTCCTTATGGCTTTGACACTGCCTACTTCCAGGCATTGTTGAAGAAGAAGGGCCTTCTCCATTCCGACCAGGAGCTCTTCGGTAGCGGCGAGGCGAGCGACGATCTGGTGTCATTTTACAGCAGATACCCTGGTGCCTTCAGAGATGACTTTGGTTCTTCCATGATCAAGATGGGGAATATGAAGCCACTTACTGGATATGATGGGGAGATCAGGAGGAACTGCAGATTTGTCAACTAGGACCATGTTTGGTTTTCGATTTGTGTTGAAGAGTGTGAAAGTGTGTGTAAAGTAACTTGATTCATGATGTTTCTATGTATTTAAATTTCAAGAATTGTGTGGCGTGATTTCTTCCTATTGCTACAAAATTGTTCTTTCATGACAGTTGTGAATGGTAAAAACCATTGGGAAAAGAATAAATTGTCAGGAATACTGCAAGTACGAATTTAGTAAGAAAGAACTCTGATTTATGAAATTTTTTTTTGTATTTATGACAGTTTATAACTATCGTGAAAATTGGAGAAAAATTGTTCAATCAATGAAAGTTTCTAAATTTGTGCTTGATAAGTCTTTAAACTTTATTAAAGAGTGTTTGATAAATTTTTGATCTTTTAATTTTGCATACGCTATATATCTCAACAACTTAAATCTCGAGTACGCCAACTATCTCCATAATAGTATAAAACAATCCTCACGGCTTTGCTTTTAGCAATAGAGATAATTGTTCTCATTTATATACCGGATTGTTTGCATTCCCACTCTACAAATCCAACATCTCCAAATCTCTTTATAAACCAATAATTTATTAAATATAAAATTGAAAAATCGGAACCTATTAAATAAAATTTTTTTAGATATATATATATATTTTAATGTTTAGAGACCTACCATAAAATCCATGTATAAGATCTTTAGTCCACTTAATTTCATCTTTTTTGAACTATAATATAACACAAAATAATAAAATTGATTGACTTTTTGCTATAATATCACCTGTATTAATAACAAATATTATCATATATTTTGGTAAAATATAATATATTTCATTTGTATAGTATAAATTATTTCAATTCGGGTTCAATATAGTAATTATTTATGATGTATTTTGAAACATCACTCTACCAATGCTGAAGTAATTAATAGAATTTTTCATTTATATTTTTTTCGATTAATAATCACAAGTGTAATACATATCATATAAAATTATCGTGGGGATTCCTTCTTTTTTTTTTTTTAAGTTTCTTAAGATCAAATTTTAAAATATTGGTGATAAGATCAGTAGGTGAAATCTAACGTCTGTGTATTATAATAACCCAATCAAATGTATTATTAAAATTGAGAGAATTTCAATGAGAAGGAATAAAAAGTCTATCATAATTATATATTGAAGTCTTCTGTAGTTATTAAACAATTTGACTAAATTGAAGGAAATATGTGTTTAACTTTCAATTTTGGTATCAATTATTCGCTAACAAAATTGTTTAATTTTGATTAAAGATTTTATAAAAAAATTTAATCTCTCCCTCCCGAGTGGTATACAAATAAATAAATAAATATATATATATTTGAAAAAATATGAAGTTTGAGATTTAGTAGAGAAGAAAACTAATTATTGGGCTTAGTTGATCTTATGGCCCAATAACTTAATCCCAAACTAATTATTGGCTTAATTTCATCTTTTTTGAACTATAATATAACATATTTAGTCCACTTAATTTTGCAACGAAACTATCCCATGACAACAATATATACATATAGATTCTAAAAAAGAAAAAATTATTCAAGCTACTTGAATATATTGTTGGGAATTAATATGGAGTCCAAAGTGTGGGATTAAGTTATTGGGCCATAAGATCAACTCAGCCCAATAATTAGATTTCTTCCCTACTAAGTCTACAGCCGAACACTATCAATTTTATTATTACCATCAATTTTATTATTTTGGGAATTAGTACATGCCTATTTAAAGATCCTAATTAGATAAAATGATGGAATGTATAGAACTTACATATTTGTCATGAAACAAAAAAAAAAAAAATTATTTAAGAGGATACCCATCACATAAATTACTTAAATATGTTCTTGTATCTACAAATTCATTTTAAATTCATTTTAAAATGCAAAATTGATTAATTGGAAGGTTATAATTTGGATCTCATAATTTTAGGTTAATGATACTTTCCAAAACAAATTAAAACCTCAAAACATTAAAAAAAAAACCTCTAAATTTCCCAAATTTGAAAACCTCCCAAAATATCCCCAAATCCTGTCTAAAAATCCCCAAATTCGAAATTGGAGACTTTTTCGCTTCCTCCATCTGCTGTCGTCTCTGAGTTTTGTAACCGTTCGTCGCCCGTCGTCTGACGCCGCCGTGACTGTTCCGGTATGACGCCTCTGTATCGGTAAGTTTCCTTTTGTCTGCTTCAATTTCCGTCTCCAGCCGCCGTCTTTGTACGTTCCCCGTCTCACTTTCTGTCATTGTACGTCTGCTTAAGTTATATCCCATTTTCCGTCTTCGTACGTTTCAAACCTTCATTTTTCGTCGGCGAACAACATTTCAGGCAACATATTCTTGCTGAACTGCTTCTCCTTTCCGGCGTCGAGCAATGGGTTCCTCGTCTACGATCCCCTTTCCGTTTACACCAATAATAAGGTAATAGTCTTCTCGTTCGATTTTGTATATATGTGTATATGACTTATATGTGTATATATTTTATAGTTATTAGTACATAAGATATGGTACCAATCTCAGTGGAACTTATGTTTCATATCTTATTTATATATGACTATAAGATGTATACACATATAAGATATATACACATATAAGATATATACACATATACAATATATCCCCATAATATATATTTGAGACCAACAAAAGATTAGTATCATATCTTAGGTATATATAACTATAAGATATATACACATATACAATATATCCCCATATATACGAATATAAACGGGAAGACTAAGACTATGAGACGTTTTGAACTTCAATTCTCTATACACATAAATAAAATATATCCTCATATATACCAATCTTAACGGGAAGACTATTAACTTACGATTGATATAAACAGAAGGGGACAGGAGACGAGGAACGCATTTCACGACGTCATAAATGTGCAAAGACGTCGACGGAAACTTTATTCGACAATGAAAATTGAAGGTCTAGACGTCTCTGGGGAAGAAGGAATCAATACCTCGTTGACGGAAGCCCTGAAGGTCTGAAATGACGACGGCAGGGAACAAACACGGTGGTTGGAGACGGCAGCCGACGACTGGAAACAACGCACGGAGATGGCAACAGACGGATTAAGTGGAAATATTCAAAACTTGATTTAACAAAATTGGAAGTTGTTAATTGCTTAGAGGAAAAAAAAATTGAAGGAGAGATTTGAGGAATTAGTGTTGAAAAATTGAATGGGACCCACAATAATTAAATGAATAAATTACAAATTAAGGATTCAAATCTTTTAAATTTAAAAATTATAATCAAATAAAAAGCAATAAATAAGAATCGGTATTAACAGAAAATCCTACGTGCAAACATCTGAAAGTGTAAATTTTGAAAATGAAATTAAGATTTAAAAATAGCCCTCCCAATATATTATCTCTATTATTTTGTGTGCGAATCCCATTTTTTGTGAGTGTGTGCCATTTTCTCTCTGTGGGTGAGACTAATTTTTACACAGAGGGTACGGTTTTGTCTTCGTGGGTGTGGTTTACAGAGAGCTCTGTGAGTGATTTTTTCATGTGAGAAAATATTTTCAATCTCCATTGAAGAATTTTAGAAGCTTGTAAGAGTGATTCGTTAGCAGTTTTCTTTGAGAGAAAGGTGAGAGTAATCATTGCAGAGCGTTTGTAAACTCTTGAAGATTATCCTGACATTTAGTAGAACCTGCAACGATAGAAGAACTAGACGTAGCCCACATTGGGTGAACCAATATAAATCCGGTGTCGATTTCTCTTCCCTATATTTTATTGTTCTTGTTGCTTGAGGTTTAGGTTGGTTTATCTACTCTTTGAACATAATTCCGATTTGATTTATTTATGTTATAATTGGAACCAGAACCTGATATGTGATTAGTTAGCATATATTGTAGGGAAGGATAGATGATTTTTTTTTTAAGAAAATTCTTTTATCTTTGCTTGAGCAGTTG